TGCGGCCAACGACCCAAACATGTAAGATCCCAAAGCAGACATGTCAGAGCAGGGTCTGTGTCTGAATAATACAGAATACAGAATTCAGGCAGAAGGATATTGATGCACTTCGACGGCCATGAAAGTACAAACACCCCCTCAGCCTCAATTTTCTGCCCCCTCTGCTGCGCTCGTCCCCTACCTGTAATTACTGTTAATTTGTCAGGTCGGGTGGGATTCAGAAATGATGGCTACGCCTATGGGCTGGGGCTGGATTTTTTGGGCCCAAATGCAACTCTACCTCTAATACACGCCAGTGTCTGTAGTGCGCCTCTACTGGGGAAATGCGGGAACTACAGGTAAAATTACACCAGTTTTATTTTTCCTGTTAATTTTAAATGTAATTTGGACAATTTCGGCAGGCCAATTTTTTTTATTTAACCTTTTATTTAAAGAGGTACCGTAAATCCCATTGAGATCACAGATCTCTTTTGCAAGGGAGGTCTGGGCCTGAAGGCAGCCTAACATGCACATTTTTGTCAAATTTGTGAAATGTTTTTGTCAATTAAAAAGCCCAACGGGCCGTATGGCCGAGGTTTGCCCATGCCTGAACTAACAGAACTTCTGAGGATGTTCAGACTCCTGGAAATCCTTGGAAACATCCCCTGACTTGTACTTTCTAATTATCTTTTCTCCAAGTTCTTATAGGACTGTTCCTTTAATGGGGAATAGATATGCTGTTATTTTACACTACATGTTTTTATTTGTTTAATATTACTTTAGAAAATTAGTTTGATTTTGACTCTGAAGCTTTGTTCTTTTTTTTGAGACAGACCCCGATTGATTTTTTTCAATTCAATTCAGTTTATTTCTATAGCGCCAAGTCACAACAAAGTTGTCTCAGGGCACTTTACAGGAACTTTCACATAAAGGCCAATTAGTAAAGTTCTCTATCTAAGGAATCCAACAGACAAGTTGAATCTTCGCTTTGTTGCAGTCTCCCATCCTGAGCAAGCAAAGTGGCAACAGTGGAAAGAAAAACTCCCTTTTAAAAGGAAGAAACTTCCAACAGAACCAGGCTCAGGACAAGCAGCCATCTGCTTTGACTGGCTGGTTTGAGAGGACAGGAAGGAGAGACAGACTAACACAGAATGGTAGGTCCAGGTATAGGTCCATATATACCTGAAAAACAAAAAAACACGTTAAGGATAGAAAAAATAATTACAAATACAAAACAGGTTGAGCAGAGTAAGTAAAGACAGCAGCAGAGTGAAAACTGTGGTCAGTTTGTCTTCCAGCAGTCTAAGCCTATAGCAGCATAACTAAGGGACAGCTCAGGAAACCCAAGCCAACCCTAACTATAGGATTTATCGAAAAAAAAAGTCTTAAGCCTAGTTTTAAAACTGGATAATGTGTCAGCCTCACGGACAGAGATTGGAAGTTGGTTCCACAAGAGAGGAGCCTGATAAAAAGCTCTGCCTTCCATTCTGTTTTTGTAAATTCTAGGAACCACAAGTAAACCTGCAGCTTAAGAGAAAAATGGTCTGTTAGGAAAATATGGAACAATAAGCTCTGTAATATAAGATGGAGCTAGGTTGTTGAGAGCTTTGTAGGTTAGAAGTAAAATTTGGACTTCAATTCTTGATTTGACAGGGAGGCAATGGAGAAAAGCTAAAACTGGAGAAATATGATCTCTCCTACTAACTCCAGTTAAGACTCTGGCAGCAGCATTTTGGATCAACTGAAGACGTTTTAAAGACGTATTTGGACACCCAGATAATAAATCATAAGTATAGTCCAGTGTAGACGTGACAAATGCATGAACCAGTTTTTCTGCATCATTTTTAGATAAGATGTTTCTAATGTTAGTGATATTACGCAGGTGGAAGAAGGTGGTTCTAGTAACGTTTTTAATGTGGGGGATAAAAGACATGTCCTGATCAAAAATAACACCAAGATTTTTAACATTAGAGCTGGAGGACAGATTAATGCATCTAAGGAGGGAGAAAGACTGAAAAATTAATTCCTAAGGTGCTCAGGTCCAAAAACCAAAACCTCAGTCTTGTCTGTGTTCAACAGGAGAAAATTAAGGGTCATCCAGGTTTTTATATCTTTAAGACATGCTTGTAGTCTAAGTAGCTGATTGGATTCATTGGGTTTAATGGACAAATATAATTGTGTGTCATCAGCATAACAATGAAAATTTATCCCATGCTGTTTAATAACTTTACCTAATGGAAGCATATATAAAGTAAAGAGTATTGGTCCAAGCACTGAGCCCTGATGAACAATATGACTAACTTTGGTGTATGAAGAAGATTTATTATTTACATTTACAAACTGGAATCTATCAGATAGATATGATTTTAAACCATTTTAGAGCTGTTCCTGTAATCCCAATATCAAATATTGTGATCAACTGTATCAAATGCAGCACTGAGGTCTAACAGGACCAGTAGAGACACAAGTCCATTGTCTGAGGCCATGAGAATATCATTAGTGACTTTTACCAGTGCTGTTTCTGTGCTATGATAAGTTCTAAACCCTGACTGAAACTCTTCAAACAGATTATTTCTTTGTAGACATTCACGCAACTGACCTGCAACTATTTTCTCTAGAATTTTATAGATGAAAGTTAGATTAGATATAGGTCTATAGTTGGCCAGATTTTCTGAATCAAGGTCAGAATTCTTAAGTAAAGGTTTAATTACAGCAACCTTAAAGCGCTGTGGTACATAAACATCCATTAAAGACAAATTAAGTAGATCCAAAATGTGGACATTAATTAGGGGAAATACCTCTTTAAACAGTCTGGTTGGGATGGGATCTAGCAGGCATGTGGATGGTTTGGATGAGGTTATTATTTTTGACAATTCAGAGCTCAACAGGACAAAAACTGTCCAAACATAAATCAGGCTCTTGTGAAATTTTTAAAGTTGCCTCATTTGACAGGGGACTAGAGATAGTAGAAGGAAAGATGGTTTGAATTTTCTCTCTAATTGAAATAATTTTATTTATAAAGAATCTCATGAAGTCATCACTACTTATAGTTGTAGGGACACATGGTTCAACAGAAATGGGACTTTTAATTAGTCTAGCAATAGTACTAAACAGAAACCTAGGGTTATTTTTATTCTCCTATTAAAGATGAGTAATATAAAGTTCTAGTTTTAGGGAGAGCTTTTTTATATAGCAGACTATCTTTCCAAGTTAAATAAAATTCTTCAACATTAGTAGAGCGCCATTTTCTCTCCTGGTTTCTAGATGCTGCTTTAAAGTACGTAACTCAGAATTGAACCAAGGAGCCAGTTTCCTCTGATTGATTACTTTCTTTTTCAGTGGAGCAGTTTTATCAAGTGAAGTTTGCATTGAAGTTGTAAGATGATCAACTAGATGATCGAAGTCACTGTTCTCTGATGCATTACTCTGCAAGACAGAGGAAAACATTGATGGAAGAGATTGTTTAAATTGGTTACAGCATTTTCTGATAAGCACCTGCTGAGATGAAATTTACTCTCAGTGCCTGTGTAGTCATTTAATGTAAACTCAAAGGTTATTAAAAAATGGTCGGACAGAATAGGATTTTGAGGAACTATTACCAAGTCCTTAATCTCTATACCATAGGTCAGAACTAAATCAAGAGTGTGATGATAAGAATGAGTAGATGTGTGGATATTTTGGGTAAAACCAAATGAGTATTAAATTATTTAAGGCTATGCTTAAGCTATCACTCTCAACATCCACATGAATATTGAAATCACCCATTATGATGATTTTATCAGTATTTAATAGTAAGTCAGTTAATAATTCTGAGAATTCAGACAAAAACTGAGAGTAAGCGCCTGGTGGACGATATATAACAACTAGTAAAAGTGGCTTTTCTGATTTCCATTTTGTATGAGAAAGACTGAGGGACAGTGATTCAAAAGCATCATAACTAATAACTGGTTTGGCATTAATCAATAATCCTGACTGAAAATAGAAGCTACTCCTCCAACTCGGCCAGTTGTTCTAGGAACATGAAAATTTTAATAATTAACAGGAGTGGATTCATTTATACTAACAAAATCCTCCTGTTGTAGCCAAGTTTCTGTCAGACAGAATAAATCAATATGATGATCAGTTATCAGATCATTAACTAACAGGGATTTAGAGGAAAGAGATCTGATGTTCAATAATCCACATTTAATGATTTTATGATTTTGCTCTGGTAAAGTAACTGTTTTTATTTTAAGATTTTTATGGTTTATATTTTTAGAGCTGATTTTTGGTTTATTTAATTTGAGCCGTGGGCGAGTTGACACTGTTTCAATGTGGGTGTGGGTGGGTAACAGAGGAGAAGCAGCAGAGAGGTGGAGGACTACAGCTCTGCTTCCTGGACTGGACCCTGGGTTGTCAAATGTTGATTTGACGGCACTAACAACATAAAACCTCGGAGGAGTTGAATTGGTTTCAGGCACTGTTTGTTTCACTGATTTCTGTAAATCAGTTTAATGAACAATCAGAACAAGTTGGCTGAAGTTATGTGAAAACTCTTCTAACAGGCAGGTGTTAGTTCATGAACTAAAACAAAACTCTTAATGAGTGTGTTCCCCCTCTGAACTGAACTCCATGGTTGTTTCTATTCACGTTAGTTTTTCACATGGCAGAAATGTTTAAGGCTGCTAGAAAGTCCTGTAGAATACACAATGAATAACATTAAACTGCATCTTTTTTGTACGTTAAAGCCTTTCATTACGTCCTCTTTATGACTTAATTTCTTCACCTGAGTTATGTTTTCTTTTTGTCTGGTGGGGGGTGCAATTAGAGGGGGCTGTAGTAGTTTGCATAAACATGGCAGCTTTTTAAGAAGGCTAACCTAGCAGATGGGTTTGCTGGTGTTTAACCAGGGTTCTGGATGTTTCTGATTCCATGTTCCTAATGTTGTCCATGTTTGACAGAAATGCTTCCCACAGCAGCAAACCAGGACCTTAAATTGACCCTGTTGATTTAAAGGTGAATGTGTGTTTTTCCTCCTCAAGGACCTAACTGACTCTGACCCCGAGCCGTCTGCTATTGAGAGGCTGGGGGCTGGACCTGGCTCTGGATTCAAATGGGAGAGCAGTGTAGGTGAACCCCCTCCTCCTTTCCACCAAGCCTGCCTTGCCTTGCTGTTCTTCCACCTGACCTTAACCTTTGGCTTTACACTCCCAACAACTGCAGACCTTTCCCTTCTGACCTGTGTGGTGCTCACTGACTGCTGAAGATGTTTGTTGGGTGGTGTCTTCTTGAGATGGTCAGCAACTCTGAACATGGGGCTCAGAAAGAGGTCGAGCTTCAGTTCACCCACAAACAAAATGTCCTGACCAGAGACTTGAGGAGGAAGGAACCAGGGTTGATGACCACTCTAGAAGAACTCCTGGGCCTGTGTGTGTGTGTATGCGTGTGTGCATGTGTGCGCACGCCTGTAATATCTGCTCTGTGGAAACGTAATTTTCTCGCATGATGATTGTGTCCTAGCAGTAATTGGTGAAAACGGCATTAATCATGCGCTGGGTCCAAAATGATTCCTGTGAAGGAACAAGCGAGTCTCGTTAGTGACATGAGGCTGTGACCAGCATCCACCTGTTTTCTTCTGCTCTCAGTGGGCACAGAACCAGCCCTTTGTGGAATTCTGCAACACTCATTATTATCATGTAGTCTTTATGGAAGTCTGACTGAAGTGGAGCCACGTGCAGTGTCTGGGTGTAGTCATTTGCTTCTAGTTGAGCAACACAACTGGAACTGTGGACTGATCACTACATTGTTTTCCTCTAATGCATGTGTGTTATCTGAAAGCATGGCCCGGTTCCTTAAGACATACAGAAATTAAAACATGCAAAGCTGGACAGAAAATAGTTTCAAACTATGTCGTGGAGAGAAAATGGTGTCTAATCTGACTCAAGGTAGAGTTTCTCTTGGCTGTGAATTGAGGTGCGAGTTTTTCACTGGTTGATGTTGATCTTTAAACATCAAGGCAACTTTGGTTCAAAACATCAAAGTTCATGCTCAATAATCCAGGTAAAAAATCCAGCAAACTTAAATCAGGTCCTCTGGACAGTTTCTTTTTGTTGAAACGTTTTGTCTTTTATCCAAAACACTTCATCAGTCTGAGGAGCCACAACAAAGTCAGTCTTATAAATGGCACACTCACATAGTGGCCAAACAGTTTGATGTTGATACGATGGTTTCTGGAGTTTGTTGTGGATCCTCAGATTAATGAAGTCTTTTGGGTGAAAGATGAAACATTTCAACAACTACAAAAAAACCTCCAGAGGACTCGAGTTAACTTAGTTGCACTCTTTGGTTTATTATTTATTTATTAAGCCAGTGTGTGTATTGTGTTCAGTGTTTCCCCTACCATTATACAAGCGTGGCACCCCGCCCTGTCAACCGAACAGAGTGCCCTGCCTACTGAACTGTGCCCCCGCCCCACTGCTCAACAACTGCTGGCTCTGACATAGTGCTAAGCTACCAGTACACTATACAAACGCACTAGCTGAAAAGCTACAGAGGTAGCGCTCTGTCTCTCACGCTGAGAGCTCGAAAACTGTCTGTACAAACCGTGCACAACTAACTCTAATCCGTCAACAAAACGGAAGATATGAGCGCCTTGCCAAGGCAAGTACACAAGGGGAAACACTGGTATTCAACACAATAAAAGAATAATTGCTGAATTTGAGTAAACACAAAATTGACGACCCTTGAAACAGTCAGTACTCATAAATAACACTTTCTATAGAAGAACAGTCATAAAAACTAAATTGTTGACTACTCTGAGCTTTATTTTCCTACTTGGTAATTGATTATATGTTTGGCCATTGTAGATGGCTGTTTTTTACATGACTAATATGGACCAGTTAATCAGTCTGTCTCTGGGCTTGTTAACATTTTCTTTTTCCAGAAGACCAAATGGAGATATTGAAGCAATCGAAGGGCCGCATAGAGAATTGAAATATTCTGAAAGGCTTTTTCTTTTAGTTAGCATGTTTGATCAAATATGTCTCTCTGTTACTCGTTAGAAGAGAAGACATTGAGTAAGCTCAGTCATCCTGGTAATTAAATCACCAAAAAGTTAATTCATGTAATCTGGACGGTTTCTTTTTTGGGTAAAAAAAAAAAAAAGTTTCATCTGAGGCTTTTTGGTCTCAGACTGATGGAAGTCTTTCGGATGAAGGACAAAACTTTTTTTTTTTTTTTTTTTTTTTTAAAGAAACCATTACATACATTTGTAGTACTGTAAAATGACTGAAACTAAATGAGCCCGGTTCTAGACTGATGCAACAGCTCTGCAATAATTTGGAAAGAAAACGTGGCACAGCTTGAACTTATTTGTTCAGTCGAGACTAAATGTCTTGAGTCACACAAGGACACTGAGAACCCCAGTGACTGGAGACATTTCAGTGACTCGGTTGTGAATGTGGTTTTTCAACAAGTTGCCACCAGTTGCAGCCCGATGCGACGCTACCTTTACACTAACTGTTTAACGTATAAAAATAGACTTGATCACTTTAGTTCTGGTGATCGCAGTAAAAGACAGTTCCTGTGAACTGTGGACGAGGTCAGACTGAAACCTTACCTTTCCAGAACAAAGACAAACCATTAGTGGAGATCAATGGGTGCCATGTCCGTTTAATATACACTCATCTGAGTCAGCTAATCTGGAGAACATGTTTCCTTCCATAAACCATTTGTTCTGTGAGAAAACTGAAATCTGTTTTCAAAAGTAGTGTCTGAAAGAACCACGACTGGAGCATTGATGTGTGAGCAGTTCAGATCAAGGGTGTGCACAAAGTTTTCTCTGCTCAGCTTTTGCTGTGTCCCACTGAGCTTTGTTTGTGTTGCAGACGGTCAAAAACGATCCACACTTTCACCACTTTCTGCTCAGCCAGTCTGAGAAGGTAAGAGAAATGTCATTTTCACCCCCCACCTTGAAAGGCACACACTCATGCAGTTGCCTGTAATTGTGTGAATTGTTCTTTTTGTCTCTTGGGAAAAACTAACCCCTAAACCACTGGACATATTTGAATAAAACTTTTAAATTCTGCCCAGTTCAAGATGGCAGCCACAGCCAATAACAGTGGCAAATATTTGCACCTCTCAATTTAATCTGATTGTGATTCAGAGCTTTGGGCTTAGATTATAACACCCCAGTATCCATTGATTATTTGTTATCAATGAACATGAGTCATGAAGTTTATACAAAACTAAAACTAACTAAAAAACAAACAGAAAACAATGGCTTGATTTTACATAAACACTGACTTCAATACTTTCACGCATAATAATAACTAAACAATAGCTTCTGTCATAAAAACCATTATTTAAAGGCTGGTTACCAACCAGTAAGGTTACCATAAATTCTAAGTTACCATTGAAAGTGCCATAAAACCCTGTTGACCACACATCAAGACTCTCATAACTTTCAACTATTACAGACATCCAGCTGAAACCAGATGTTTCTATACAATGTATAAAAAGACAAGCAGCTGTTTCTCTAACATTAAATCAGACTTTAGTGTTTCCCCTACCGTTACCCAGGAAGGGTGCCTTGCCCTGTCAACAGAGCTGAGCACCCACCTCTCAAATGTCCGTCACCCCTACCACCCCCAACCCCCGTCGACAACTGCCGGCACTGACGTAACACTAAGCTAGTGGCACGCACTTGCCAAGGCAATTTTCCTAGAAGAAACACTGAAACTTTTAAAGAATTAGAAGAAATCTTTAACCTTTAGAAGATTGAGTCCAGAGGACCTGTCTTAATCTGGTTAGATTTTTCAATCTGAATTACTGAGCATGGATCAGGACACTGAAACCGTTCTTTTTTTATACAACCGTCGAAAAGCTGACATGCTAGAGTCTCTGTCCGTAAACGTTCTCTTTTTCTACAAAACTTCATAGACATTGGTTTTCATCAGATGGAGTTACATGCACTCATCAGCCCAGCTCCAAGGTCATGGTTACAAGTCAAGGTCAAAGTCAAAACTGTATTTGCTTGTCCCACCCATAACTTCTGATCTGCTTAAGATAATTTAATGAAACTTGATAATCATTTGTACCACCACCAGACAGTGTGTTGCGCACACTTTACATTATCCAAGGTGAAGGTCACAGGTGGGAAAGGTTTAAAACGCCTTCATTTATATACACCGTATATATAAGGTCAAAGTTAAAAGGATGTATTTTCTTGTCCGGGCCAGTGCTGTAGATTGCTGCGTAATAGTTTGGTGACAGGCGTATAATGTGTCATGAGGTACTCTTATTAGGTTAGAAAAATGAGAATATGTAAAATTATTTTCTTTATAGTCACATTTACATCTATTATTATTTGGCAGCATTGGGCGGCTATGGCTGAGTGGTTAGAGCAGTCGTCCTCCAATGCAAGAGTTGGAGGTTCAATTCCACTTGCAGTCACATGCTGAATTGTCCCTGGGCAAGACACTGAACCCCTCATTGCCTCTGATGTGTGTCCCATCAGTGTATGAATGTGATAAAGCTCTGAATATTATTTGTGTATATCTAGTAGAGTACTGTATGAATGGGTAAATGAGGGACAGGTTGTGTTGTAAAGAGCTTTGAGTATCTTGATGAGATAGAAAGATGATGTATACATACAGTCCATTTACCATTGTTTTTAAATTATATGACTTTAGTAACTTTAGGGATCCTTCCATACAACGCACAATAGTTTGCTGGTATAAAATAATAGTGTGTGTGTGTGTGTGTGTGTGTGGGGGGGGGGGGGGGATTGTCAATACTGTAAAAAAAGTACCAATTTAGCAGAATGAAAAGTTTTAGGTTTATTCTAGGTGCAATTCAATTCAGTTTATTTATAAAGCGCCAAATCACAACGAAGTTGTCTCAGGGCACTTTACAGAAACATTCACATACATAAAAGCCAGTTAGTAAAGTTCTCTATCTAAGGAATGCACAGCTGCTTGTCATGAGCTAGTATCTCCCTGCCAGCTGGTGACTCATTAGACATAAGAAAATGTGCACATTTTCACTGTAAATCACTGAATTGCCAGTCAGGACATGTTTGTGTCTGGATGTAGCTGGAAATAAATTCTGACTCATGCAAAATTTCTAAAATGATTTTCTATTATTTTGTTTGCATATTTGTCGTAATTAAATGTTACTTGGAAAGCAGTTGTGTTTTTGCATCTTATCAGTCACAATGTAGTTTCATAGTTGTCCAAACTTTGCATTTCTTGCCCTTTCTGAACTGCAACAACTGATGAGGAAGGGTTTGAGATGCATGATTGAACTTTGTGTATGGGTTGCAAAGCAACAGAAAAGTGAGGCTCCGTGACTCTGGACACTGAGAACCCAAGCTAACATTTGTAGCCAGTTGAAAACTCAGTTTGTTGCACACCAGTGAGAGACTGGCTGTAAACTGTGCTGGACTTTACCTGAGAGGAGGATGTTGGGTGTGTCAGTCATTTTGTATCTGCTTCCTCTCTGCCCACAGCCAGCCTCGTCCATGGAGCCCATTAGCAAGCGCCTGAAAATCATTGAAGAGGTAAATGAGCTGGTTTTAAACCTCGACAGTCCTTAAGCCAAGATACTGACGCCGTTTTCTTGTTGCCATGCAGGTCACAGGGTCAACTTCCATCCAAGCAGCAGACAGCACAGCCATCAATGGCAGCATCACACCCACAGACAAAAGGTTTGAACACATCCTTACTGAAGCACTGTTGAGAAACACGAGCCACATGACGACAGCAGCTCACACGGTTCATGTTTGTTTTCAGCTTTCAATGGTTTGCTGCTGTCGTGTGTTTCTCCTGTAGGATAGGTTTCCTGGGTTTGGGACTCATGGGCAGCGGCATCGTTTCCAACCTGTTGAAAATGGGCCATGTTGTGACTGTGTGGAACCGCACAGCAGAAAAGGTACTGCACTACAATATAGACCGTCACGCATTACCAGCCATGGTACCATAAACAAAATAATGTTTCAAACAGAGATTCAGAGACATGGCCTGAGCTGCACAGCACCTTGTTTATACCGACCATTTTAGAGGGGGAGCGAGAGACAGAGATACAGCCACACACTGTTTGCACCGACAGTTTTGGAGCAGGTCGTAGGAGGGAGACAGACTCTTCTCAGCCGTGCACTATCTGTACTGACAGATTTTTGTTTTTTGGTGGGGGAGGGGGAGAGACGGACACACATGAGCTGTGCTCTTTATGTACCAATATTTTTTTTTTGGGGGGGGGGGCTCAGCATGAGAAGAGGCAGCTTTAGCTTTTTAGCTAGTGTACCTGCATTGCGAGCTGCTAGTTTAGCATTAAATCAGTGCTGACAAGTGGTTGGTTGGGGTCGGTTGGTTGGGGTCGGTTGACGGGGCGGTGTGCCCCACGTGTATAATGGTAGGAGAAACACTGTTCCTGCAGCTGATCAGCTGTTCTCAGCGCAAAGCGAAGAAGTGGGCGTGGCCAAGAGTGCTTGCAGGTGGCTGAGAGCAGCGGTGGCAGGGACCTGAATTCATGACTTTCTGTGCTCTTTTAGAGCGTTTAGAAACTTTGCAAGAGCGTGGGAAGGGTTTAAAGCACCTTTATATATATATATATATATATATATATATATTTATATTTATATATATATATATATATATGTATATGTGTATATGTATGTATATATGTGTATATGTATATATATGTGTATGTGTGTGTATATATGTGTATGTGTATATGTATATGTGTATGTGTATATATATATATGTGTATATATATTAGGGGTGCACCGATTTCAATTTTCAGGCCGATCACCGATTTTTTGAAAGTCTGAACTGCCGATTCTGATTTTGGCCGATACCGATTTTTTTTTTATAAGCAACAGTGTCAGGTGTTACAAGATCACAATGCACCTTCAATTTACCAATCTTATTTTATTGTAAAACATACCCTTGAAAAATACCCTAGAAACAATACAAACTTGTTGTTTTAACTTGTCATGAGGTAGTATTCTGAAATATAAATGAAGTTTACACAATTTTTGTTAAAACTATAAAATTAACCAAAAAAAAAAAAGTTCAGTTCCTTCAACTCTTTCACTTGTTACATTTAAAAAAAACTAAACTTAAAAAGATAATGCAACAAGTGTAACATTTTCAAGTCAGTGGGTAATAAGAAATAACACTGGCACAGGTAAGTTAGTTCTCACAGACTTATTCCAGTCACTTTCATTAGTGGCAGGTTTTTCTTGATGAACAAAAGCATTTCTGCTTTGTCACCAGACAGGCGACTTCTTTTCTCATCTACTACATGTCCAGCCAAGCTAAACAGGCGCTCGCTTTCAACGCTTGTGCATGGGGCAGAGAGATAGGTTCGGGCAAGTAGAGCAAGATGAGGGAAACGATTTTCATTGATCTTCCAGTAGACCAATGGGTCCTGGCTCCTTTCGACAGGAACCTCAGATAGGTAGTTCTGTACCTGCATAGCTGAAGGGCTGGCCAGCTGTTGCTCCTGTTCAATGTTCTCCTTCAAGATTTCGTCATGAGCTGCAAACAGTAGACTACGCCTTTTGGCTGCAGGTTCATCGATATCAGGAGGTCCCACTTCAGAGGATGTTCCTGCAGCAGGTGTGCATCTGGTCTCCCCCTCTGCAAGTTTGGTCAAAAGGAGCAGTTTCACGTCATCTTTCACCTCTGCTGAGAAGTAGCGATTCTTGTACCTTGTTTTGCATAAACAAAGAAAGATGGGTCAATCATTGTGTTTTGTATACATTAACAGTTTTTATGACTTGCATGTAAATAAAGAAATGCATTTCAATCAAGAAATTTTTATTTTTAATTTAATTTAAATGTTTGTTGAAATATAGTAGTAGGCTAAAAGTAATTATGGCTAAAATAGAATGTTAATAGTTACTTGCCTTGGATCCAGAACAGTGGCCAAGCTGTACAGGGGCTTATGCTCAATGTTGCTGAATCTTCTCACAACAGCCTCCAGCAGCGTAGCTTTGGCTGTACCCACGCCACGGTCTGTGCTCGCTTGCCTCTCCAAAATCCGCTTGAGTGCAGTGATGGCTGGGATGACATCTGCTGCTGTAGCTGTTGATGAGCTAATCTCCTTTGTGAGTTCCTCAAAAGGTGCAAGAATGGTGAGCACATTGTCCAGTAGCTCCCACTGGTGTGCTGTGAGTGTGGCTGGTAACTCATGCTCAGCAGCATACACGCCAATAGCACGTCTGTGCTCCAACAGCGACTGCAGCATGTAGAAACGTCTTGCTGTAATCGTTTCCTGGGTTGACCTAACTGTGTCTGTATGTCATAAAGTCGGGAATAGGCAAGTGATGAATGCTTAAAATGTCCAACAATTCTCCTTCCTGTTGCCACCATGTCTGTGATGCTGCGCTGCGCCAGCTGTCCCTCATTTACAACCAGTTGCAGTGTGTGTGCCAGGCAGGGTAAACTTTTCAAGTTGATATCATCCAGCGCTTTGGCCATATTACGAGCATTATCCCGTAAAACAACGTGAACTCTTCCATTATCGATTTCCCAGTGATTCAGCATCGCCTTAAACTCTGCTGATAAATTGGCTGCAGTGTGAGACCCCGCCATTTCTTTACAGTTTAAGAGTACTTGATGACGTTCGAACTGTTCGTCAATCCACTGTGCAGTAAAACTTAACATGGACATTAAACTTACATCAGAAGTCCAGATGTCTGTTGTAAAGCTGAGTGTATTTGTATTAGCTTTTAGCAGGCTGCAGGTGTCTCTTGAAACTTGGCTGAACAACTCCGGTAATGCAACATCAGAAAAATATTTCCGACTCGGCATATTATATCGTGGGCACACGTGCTGCATCAAGCTTCTAAAACCTTTGTCCTCAACGACTGAAAATGGCTGGTTGTCTAATGCCATGAACTCCAACACTTTCCTCGTGGTAGCTTTGCTCTTTTCGTTGCTCATAAAAGCAAACAACGACCCACCGACTGCCTCTTTGTTAGCGCTAGCGTTAGCATTAGCCTTAGCTTGGTTGCTCTCTTCAAACATTGCATACTTGGCGGCGTGGTGATTTCTTAAATGGCGAACGAGGTTTGTTGTATTAAAGGTTTTGGTGGTGGCTCCACCACGACTTACTTCGGCTTTACACGAATTGCAAATTGCGATCTTTGGCTCATTTTCTTTTACAGCGTAGAACTTCCAAACCGACGACATGGCTGTTCCGAGTGACCTGTGTGTGAGCTCTCACAGTGGAGCAAAAGGGGACGGCAGCTGATTTTCAGACCTTTCCTGAGGCAGATAAGATCGGTGGATAAAATCGGCTTCTCGTTTAAAGATCGGCCGATCGCCGATCTGCCCAAATTAAGGAAATCGGGGCCGATCGATCGGCCGGCCGATTTATCGGTGCACCCCTAATATATATATGTGTATGTGTATATGTATATGTGTATATGTATGTATGTATGTATGTGTGTATATGTGTGTATGTATGTGTGTATATGTATGTATATGTATGTATATATGTATGTATATGTATATATGTATGTATATGTATATATGTATGTATATGTATATATGTATGTATATGTATATATGTATGTATAT